TTTTTTTTTTTTTTTTTTTTTTTTTTTTCTCTCTCAATATTTACTCCCGAAAGAGAGTTGTTTTTTGAGGTTAGCGGGACGACACAGAGAAAGAATGAGGGCAGAGGGGGGCTACTGAGACAAATAGTAGGAATAAATTGCACATGCAAATTAAACTAAACTATGATATTTTTTTATTATTTTATTCAATGTTTAGTTATACCCCTACTTTTAGTACCATTAATAGAAATTCTATCACTTTTTCGAACCAATGCTTCTCTCAACTTTCATTGAACATGATCAGATAATTTATATAATAAAAAAAGAGTATGTTTGAATTGATCTTANCACTTTTTCGAACCAATGCTTCTCTCAACTTTCATTGAACATGATCAGATAATTTATATAATAAAAAAAGAGTATGTTTGAATTGATCTTAGTCATATTTTCTCTCTCAAAATCATTATTAATCATTTATCTCACTCAGCATTCCTTTGTCAGACTCAAACGTCAAATCACATCACTTATTTTTATCACATATTTAATTATTTATACATTTTCTCCCTAAAAATATGACACCATTCATTGATTTTATATATTTAATTATTTAATATTTAATTAATTTGTCGTTAATATATTTTGAAAAAATTTAATATAGTGGAATTGATTTTTTGGACGCTCGAATTTTATATTTTAAGGTACGAGTTATGACTGGTTTTAATATATTCTCTCTTTAACTTATCCTCAATTGAAACTACTCTCACCATTTCTCTAATAAAGTTATTTCGTATTTTATCATTTTTAATTTTTCCATACATCTACATTAAAATTCTCATTTTTACTACACTTATTTTGTCACTATGTTATTTCTTAGCGATGGAGTCGGAATAAACTACACATATTATTCTTAAATTATAATATTCGTGTTAATTAAGTCTTTGGATTTTTTTTTGTTTCCTTGAACTCTATAATTATATTAATTGAGTCATTCTGTCTGTCTCTGTTAGAATGTGTTACTCACGTGACCGTACAACATAAAAAGATAAAAGAGTTCAAGAGAATCAATTGACAAAAAAAAAAATTTAGGGACTTAATTGACAGAAAGATCATTGTTGTTTGAAAATTGTATATATAACTAATTTATTTAGACTTATTTGTATCACGTGAGAAACACACTTCGCCACTTCCATTAAAAAATCTAATGGAGTTGAATAGAAAAGCTCAATTAACAAAATTAGAGAGCTTAAGAGCTCAAATTAATACAAAAAAAAAATTCAATGACTTAATTGACACAGTAATAATAATTTAAGGGTCATATGTATAATTTACTCCACGGGATCGAAAAATTGAGGGAGTGATGTTGTTTCACAGAGTCAGATTTGAATTAATCTCAGGGCCTAGACTCAATATGGTTTTTTGAATTTTCTGGCCTATATCCACATCACATCTTAGCCCAACAGGCCCATGTATTGGGCCTTGAATTTGCCCTTACTAGCCTAATAAGCCCAGCACACCGGGACATGGCACTCAACAGTTAAGTTGGACGTCAGTCACCAGCAGCAGGTTGGACCAAGTTGAATCCCAGCAGCTATAATTGGTTTAGTGGAAGTTGAGAGTTGCAGGATGAACCCGACCCAATTCAATTACTAAACGAATTAGGTATGGATTAAGTCATTAAAAAAAATATAATAATTCATTTATATATCAGTTATACATGATTCATATATAATACAAATTCGATATAACACGACTTGTTAGACAAATTAATAAACGATAGAATACTTCTATAGACTAACCCGTTAAGACCCAACACGACCCGACTCAGTCAACATGGATTTGGGTCTAAATGGAATTAAAACACATTTCTTCAAATCAATGTGAATTGAATTCAAGATTTATAGATCACTCTCCGAGCCATTCAAAAAGCATCTTAAAATTCAAAATTAACTGAACTGTTGATGTGTACAAATCCTAACCAATCAAACTGAATTAGAGAGGAGCCTAACCATGGAGAGCGGTCATTCAGAGTGAATTAGAGTCTAACTCTGATCATGGAAGTTGTACACTATAACTTCAGGTGAATACATTATCTGCGAACTATTAGATCATGATCACTAATTAGTTATATGAAAAGCTTGAAGGAAGATGAACATGGAGTTCTTTACTTTAAATCTACCTTTTATAGTTTTCTTCATTCTTTCAGTTCTATCATATACATATTAACTTTAAATGACACGATTCAGACATAAACGATGTAACTCAATTAATCCCTAATTTAAATGGTCAAGATTTATTCACCTCGAGAGATTAAAACAATTTGTTGCTTTCTTCTATCTTGCATTGCTAATGCCATCTTTAGTGCCGAAAGAAGCAAAGATAGTTAGGTCATTAGCCTTGAAAGAAGGGAAAAACATTCCAAAGGAACAAGATGGCTATTAAACATTAGTTTGATTGCAAATGAAAGCAAAAGCACCCACCAAATTAAATAGCAGCATTCACACATATAAAACATAAAGCAGATACCAAACCAACAAGAAAAGAATAGCCTTTTAAATTACCTTTTTTTTTTTTAGCGGGTGTCTAGACCAGTTTACATGTATCTCTATTATTCTCTTTCGTGATCCGATCAAGGGCAAGTTATCCTCACCAAGATTATTATATATGATTTAGCAATTTGAAAAAATTAACTTTTTAAATTAGTTATTCACCATATAATACACGAAAAAGACCTAGGTCAGATTAAAATTAGACATGAAGAACACGATTAATTGGTATGGAAAGCGAAAAATAGATATTTTATATGTTATTAATTTTTTTTTACATAATATCATATGATTTATTTTAAAATTAAATATTTTTTATTAACACAAATCCAAAATAACACACCTCGATAAAAATTCGATTTAAATTGACGCGACACGACACGCCATAAAGAATAAAATTTATCCCAATCCATCCAATTGCATGGCCCAAATATGGAAGAAGAAGGTTGTATTTGGAAAAGTTAGGTCAGGTCAAATGATCTATCAATGACCAGCCTTTTCATTGGGATTAGTTCTCAAACTTTCAATTATTCCCTCATTATAATTTTTTTTTAAAATTTTTAGTCTAACAATTATTGCTGAAAAAGCCATGATCATATACTTTTCATCCCAATCCAGGCAACGCTCTAATAAAATTAATCAAAAGGAACAACTTAACAACAAAGTGCTTGTTGTATAATTTATTTTTCATCATGATTGCCAAGAAGGCATTTGAGTTTCCTCATCAAAAGTCATTCATAGAATAATTTGGTTATACTTCTGAAAAGACGATCGTCACAATGCATAATAGTTGCCTATAACAAAATTGAACAGATTTAATCTCTTTAAACAATGGTATAATAATTAGAAAAAATTAATAACAACAATGGTCGTTACATGGCCTCAACAACCTCGTAATGGGCTCTAATAGCACCAATTGTTGTAATTTTCAATTTTTAGATACAAAAAAATGAACTTAATCACATTTTTTCGTATATTTTCAATTGAAACTCCATCGTTGACATTTGAAAATAAAATTTGAGTTTATGCCCACCAAAGTAGTGGAAAGTAAAATGTGGGTAGAGTTTTCACTAAATTAGCAACTTTAAAAAAAAAAGATAAATATATTTACCATGTGAATCGTATGTTAAATTCGATAAAATTCATTACCAATCACTAACAATCTAAACTTATATAATTTGGCTGAAAATTCTATTTTTCAATCGTTCCACAAAACCTGTATAATTCATTAGATTCGTTTCTAAAAAGAGTAATGAACGTAAAGGGTCTCATAATCCTTTCAATGAGGACTTATCAGAGTCTTTGAGCATTCTCCTTTGCCCTTATCCCATTTTTTATCCCTCAAAGACTTATATTCAAGTGGCATAGTTTTGCATGCACTTTTATATCTTGCTTTGAGACTGCCTAAAGACGATTATATCACCCACAATTTGTTTTGGCAGTCGGAAAAATCTTATACATAATAAACAAACATTTTCATGGCAACCCTTAAAAAATTGGATGGGAGAATAGTCGATGCGTCTCACTTTAATTTGAATCCGATTCAACTTGAATTCAATTAGTTTAAAATAGATTGATATTTTTGACTAATTGTACGAATATTTTAAATCATAGATGTGAATTCGGATTTAGGCTATTAAGATCTGATTCAGTTGTGATTCAATATTACTTATATGCATTTTAATGATACTAACAATGACGACATGCATTGCAGGTAAATAAATTTAAATAATGTTATTTTTATAGAAAATGTAAATTATATGTGTAATTAAATTAAATAATAAATTAAGTCTCGAATAATTAATCTGTACTTTAATTATTGATTTATTCTATAAATTTT